ATCTCTCCTTGTTCAATTTCCATTCATTATTCCTTGTCTGGCCTACAGGTCTCTTAAGTTTGTTTTCCCAAATTGTAGAAATTGCTCCCACCCGCCAATGCTATACTGCAAGCTGTTTTTGGAACCAAGTAAATTTAAAGGCAAACTATGGTACTTTGATGGAAAACAGACCTGGAAAGAAATTTATTTATGCATCTGTACGTGCACACAAGACAAACACACATTCTTAATGTTACACTGTATTTAAGTTATTATTAAATTGTCATTGATTATATACCATCAAATAATTTTCAACTCCAAATAACAACATCAATAGATATCCTCCATCATGATCTAATCTGTTCTTTCAGATCTCCCAGTAGTGTACTCATTGCTACCATAAGTCCATCCTCCTTGGGGCTTCTCATCCTCTTCTCTTTCTTTCCATCTTTCACAGCCTTAAGAGCCTTTTCCAGATATCTGATTCCTCATAACACGTATCCAATTTGAGCCTAGTCCTTTGTGCTATCCGTGAGAACTCTGGGTTGATTTGTTTGATGATCCATCATTTTGATTTCTGGATTGCTCATGTCCGCAAAGGTGCTTTTCTAAAGGAAATTGGATTTCCTTGATTTTTTTTTTCTTGAAAATGCTTTGCTTCTTATCCAAGAAGCTTCTTCAGTTCTGGTTGAATCATGGGGAATGGAAAGATTTTTTTTTTTTTTTAGCAGTCATCTGGTTGTTAGCATTCTGAAGTTTGGTCGTTGGCTCACTGAGAGTTGTTGAAGCCACTGGGGGGTTTATTTGTATGCTCAAAGTCACCTGAATCAGAGTGCAAATGGATGTGGAACCTTCTTGGGACTGCTGAAGTGACTGTGTTGTAGACAGGAGATAGATGATGTGAAGTGGTGGTTTTGTTTCACCAATGTACAGATCTGCGCATGTCTTATTGCATTGCATAGCGTACCACATTGCTCAGTTTATGTCTGGGTGTTTTATCCTTGGAGGCCCCTCGTCAGTCAACAGGAGTACTGGTTTACCACCAGCTTTATCAAGTACTTAGGAGGCAAGGGCTTGGGCAGCACAAGGAATCAACAGCCAACCACTTAATAGCTGGCCATCAACACCCCAATCACAATCAAAAACCCACATACAACCAGGCACTATATACAATAAACACCATCCACAGAATAATCCAAAGCATACACTCTGCTAGAGATAAGTTCCCTGAGAACGGGCTCCAGCACGAGTCTGAAAGCTCAGAATGTTAAACCTCTGGTCCTGGTAACCAACCCAGATTGGATCCTGTACACATAGTACACTTTCCTGCTCTTATTTTGCCCACAACAACAACCCTGTGAGGTGAGTTGGGTTGAAAGAGAGTGACTAACCCAGAGTTACCCAGCTGACTTTCATGTGTAAGACAGGACTAGAACTCAGAGTCTCCTAGTTTCTAGACCAGCACCTTAACCACTATACCAAACTGGCTTTCTGGTTTGCTCTTCAGAACCACTGCTTCCAAAATGCCCAATTTCTCATGTCTGTTTCTGATAATTCTGATCAACCAAATGAAAAACTGGCACTTTGGGGTTGTTCAAACATGGAGCAGAGTATATATTTCAGAGTTTTTTGTTCCTGACAGAATCAGAAATTCAGCTATTTTCATGTAGAAAAATTTTATTTCTGAAGTAGCTGCTGTGTGTGGTTAAGTGGTCTTTGTGATTGTCTCTTACAACTGAAGTCTTGGATTCTCCTGTTTGAGGCAAGTTGCTATTCCATTCTTGTGGGGAACTGAACCTGATGTGATGGGAGAACACCAAATATCCTTCCATATACACATTTAATGTTGAGGGAAGGGCATCAAATTTAGTTCTCTCCTTGTCGTTTTAGTTGTCTATATCAAATATGTAAGGAACCAGTAGCTCCTCTATGGCAGTTGCAGACACAGATCCATTTTTCACAGTCCCTTGAGTTCTCAAGTTCATATTATTGTAAATTGGTGACAAGCCCCTGAATAATGGTGTAAGGAACACACATTTCTATTCCATCACTTTATAAGCAATTCCTTATTGCTTTGGACATAAATATCATTAAAACGTAAAACAAAAATGTATTTACACTTTCAAACTTCTCAAGAGTATAAGTGAATGTACCTTGTAGATTTTCATATGAAATACATACTTTTCTTTTAAAAGAAATTTCAGAATAACACATGAAGTCATGTGAATGCCTAGAACACATAGAATATGAGCAGAAGTAGAGCACACTAAAAAAAAATCTGTGAAAGTCAAGTTAATTTCTTATCTAGCAATGACTGACTGAGTGAATGAATGAAACAAAAAGAAAAGAACAAAAGAAGTCAAATTCCAAAAAGTAACTCCTCCTATATCTTCCTTACACTGTACTGATCTTTTTGCTGGGTTTGTCCCAGCACATCTATTTTATGGGGCCAAAATATCATCACTTAACAATGTATTTAAAATTTTTCCAGTGAATGATTTTTCATGATTTGGGTATTGCACGAACTGTGAAATTAGCTAAGAAGGGGATGAGAAAATGGCTATGTTCCAAGTCAGATGGCATCCATTATTCCATAACAGAACTGCAGACAGATGTCTCCAATTACACATATATGATGTTAAAGTTCATTGGACATTATATTTCATATCTACTTGTCCTTTACTAATCATTTATAATTATGACATGAAACACTTAGCGTTTATCATTATAGTATTGTGATTATTCAAGCCATTTCTGTTCAAAAATCAAATGGTAGAATGGAAGCTAGAGCCAGATAGTGAATAAATAAGATACAGATATCATAATGACTGAGCGATACGCTCTGTTATTCAGATGGTCTTTAACCCGGGAATATGAATAGACAAAGCCTTACTTTTTATAGAACTTAAGTTCTTTTATATAAAAAGCAATCCTTTATCATTCAAGTACATGTTCATTAAGCTGACTAGACAAATGACACCAGAAATATACAGGCTGTTATAACATTGGGGAAACCATTAGTTGGTTTCTACAAAGATGGTAGTTTCACTGATCTCAGATGCCCATGCATTTGTGATTTTGAACTCCCTTAGGATTTTTCAGGGGCATTTTCTGCTCAGGAGACCAAGATGCCTCAGAATCATTTCTTGGTAAATAACTTTCCATATGAGTTAAACTCAGCATGCTACTTGGTGAGATAGTCTGCAGGTAAGTTAGATTATTGGTTTTATTTGAAATGCTATGTATATCCTTCCAGATTATAACTTTTCTTGGATACATTCTTTTTTGTAGATAGATAACTAAACTGCATTATTTTAAAAGAGAATTATTTCCTTAAAATATTTCCCAACAGTGAAGTTCCGAGTATAGGACCTCACTGTTGCAAAGCCTACTTTTGTTTCTTAAGACATTACATAGCTATTAATAATATATTTCCCTATTTTTGAGTTACAGCATGCTCCAATCACATTTTGAGTTTGTATGAATTTGACTGTCTCCATTGCTGATTCTTATGGTGCTTCTCTTACCTCTGTTCTGCGAATCTATTGATTTATCTGCAGGAAAATGGGGGATAAACCCTAACAGATTTTACACCTTCCTTGGACAATAGATGAAGATAGAGATAAAGATAAGGAGTTAGGCATTTTTTTGCTTATGTATGTTTAAACAGTATAATGAGTATTACTTAAATTCAACAAATGTGATATACTAATATTATTATGATGAATTGGATTAATATGAATGATACTTAGAACCATCTCTGTTCACACACAATATGGATGTATATTGAAAACAATAATAATAAAAATACATATTTAAAAAAATAAGAGGAAAGGACTCTTACTTAAACCAATACAACTGTAGACAATTTAATTTCACATATAAGATGGGAACAAAACCAAGGCAACACCCTGGGATCATGGCAGAAAAAACAATCTTGCTATGGCATGTTGGTATAATTGTTAGTTGTAAGTGGAGAAAGGCCCTTACTATGTAATTGTTTACTTAACTTTGGGCAGCACCTTCTAATTTTCTTCTAAACAGTGGACTGAAGAAAGAAGTCTCAGCATTATATAGAATTAACCATTGGAAGAAACCTTGGAGATCATCTAGTCTGGCCCAGTATAGGAGTCAGAGGTGGTATTCAGCAGATTCTGACCTGTTCTGGAGAACCGGTAGTGGAAATTTTGAGTAGTTCAGAGAACCGGCAAATGCCACCTCTCACTGGAGACTTTACAGTATCCTTCCCCTGTCACACCCACCAAGCCATGCCCACAGAACCGGTAGTAAAAAAAATTGAATCCCACCACTGATAGGAATCCGCCATGATGTCCATGTGGGAGGTGATTATCCCGTATCTGTTTAAGTATGTCTAGCAAAAAGACCCACTTGACCCATTTCCAGAGACAATCTATTAGCATTTTTTTCCCTGATTGTCTCTTCTGAAGAATTGTCTTATATTAGAGCCTTACCAAAAGCCAAATATGGCTATATTTTTCCCCTATTATCTTCTTATCCCCAGGATAAACAGACTTGCTGTTTTTTGCTCCAGGGCACTCAAATCCCATATCCCATTGGAATGTTTTAAGGAAGAATCAATATAAAGTGGCAAATATTTGTTTTTAAATTAGGCAATGAAGATGAATGAATATAACCAATATTATATGTTGTGAATTCAGTATCTCCTCAGCTGTTAGATGCCATATTCAGACTAGTGTCTATTGTGTAAAGATATTATATTCATGTGACTCTTGTACCTGAGATTACAAGGCACATTTCTCTGACAGCACCTGTTCCCTGTATGCCCATAGTACGTTAAACAAAGTAGTATATAATTTTGACAACAGCAAAGCTAGTTGAAACATCAGATATAAAAATGTATTAAGGTTCACTGTGCTTGAATATAGACACATATGTCAGATTGATTCTTCTGGAAGAATATAGCATACAATTGGTCTGCATTGCATTAAAAAAAAGAAACAAAATAAAATGTGCGTTTTGATTTGTTTTCTGTCTTTCAGGGTATCAATGTGTCTCCTCAAACATCACTGGCTTTAAATTATGATTCAAGAGTGATTAAGGAGAAATACGAACAACAGGCCACGGATCATCAGGAGTATGAAAATGAACTGTCCATCCGGATAGGTAGAACAGCTTTACATTCAGGCAAGCATCCTGTCATATACCATCAAGTTAATACAATAGTAGTGTGCATAAGTATATGTATGTGCATACGCACATCCTACATGTGCGTATGTCACCCAAAAAAAAGAAAATGGATAGAGGTAGGGCAGCTTCTTTCTTTGGTATTTTTCATCCGCTAAATTTCTACCTTGGATCCTAATACTTGCATGTCCTATTAACTGTTTAGGATGCTCTTTGCTTTGGAAGATGGTTATCCTATTTGGAATGATGAATTCTGATTCTTTGATATTCATGTAAGCTCTCTATGAATTCAGTGAGTTCCTTGTTTATTTCCTCTATGACTTCCTTCACTTGGCCTGGTTGGGGGTTACTTACCAGCTGGTGGAATAGTAAAGTAGTATGCTAACTATCCACTGCTAAGCACGGTCGAAGTCCTCTTCCTTAGTAATTCTTATTAAGATAATAGTTTCCCTGTTGTTGAGAGATTTAGGGAGAATTATCCCTAATTGTAACCCTAATCAGTAAAAACAGGCTTGCGTTCACTGCCCCTAGCACTTTCTTGCCCACTCCGTTGCTTTTACCTGTCCATTAAACAGCTCTTTGGCAAGCTGGGAAGGGCATAGTAGCCCCAATTGGCATAAAGGTGGAAGGCAGAATGGATGTCCTTAGATTCTTTCCTGGAATTCAAGCTGTTGAAAGCTGGGATACATTATTACTTTGTAGGTCTGCTTTGGAACCTGCGTTGGGACCACTCCATTAGATAAAAAAGCAAGGGAGACAAAAATAAGGATGGAAATTATTATTTGGAGTCTTGCTGTAAACACAGAAAAATAAATTGAAACCGTTTTTAAAATGCCTATTAACTATCTACAGATATTTAGTGTTTATGGAATGTTGATAAAACTTGAGTTACAAATTTGAAGAATATACATTTGAAAGTGCAAAAAAAGAAAAGAAACAGTTTTTAAAATAAATCTAAAGTTGTCCAGTAAACACATATGAGTACCCAATGTTTGTGGAATGGATTGTCTTTATATCACAAAAGATAGTACAAGTTAGATAATACACAACCTTTTGTGTCACAAAAGATGGTATAAGTTAGATTCCATTGTATAGTCCTGTGCCACTTTATGTAAATCTTTCAAATAGAATTCTAATATTCCACAATATTTTCATTCTCTATTTGCTGGACATTATAGAGATACAAACGTATTGACTTGTTTGTTTGCTAAGGTGAACATTGACTACAAGAACCAATTACATGCAGTAGTGGTAGCTCTAAACCCAGAAACCATCTTTTAAAATAATTGCTTCAGTACTCAGTATTTCATGAGGCACATAAGAAGCCTTGGTTGTTGTTTTTTTAAAATGAGGAATCTCTTTTAGGCAGTTTAAATTGATTTAAGGGAGTGGTTATCCCTTCACATAGAATGATGAAAATAAATTAAAAGTTGATTGAACTGCAAATTGTGATTCAGAAGGCAGTTCAATCAACTTCTTTGGGTTTGCAGGAATTGAAGAGCATTTATTTTCCAAAAATGAAACAAATAAACCAAAACCCATCTTCTTCCCTAACATCTTTAGCATATTGGTATTCACATCAGATTTTTTTTTGTCAATATACAGTGTGAAAACTATTGAGGGAACTTTCCCCCCTGCTATGGATTGTTTACTTTTCTCTCTGCCAGAGGAAAAAAGATTGCCTTTTTCCTGTCTCACATTTTAATATATGAAAAAGACACAAATTGGGACTGGTATGCTTTCTTTCTTCAGAGACATGTTATGTTCTGGCCTGTAGGGATGAACACTGTGTATAAATGCAATGAATCATGGCTAGCGAGGAGAGCAAAGACAGAATACTAACCATAAGTTTAATAAGTTTATTTTATATTTCTAAAAGTTGCAATATGTTTATGTCTACTTTCTTTGAGCGCTCTTGGAATTCTAATAGTCCATAGCAGTCTGCAAATATTTGTCACAACATGGAGATGTAAATGAGTAAACACAATCCAATCCTTATGTACTTGCATGTGACATCAGAATGAAACCGTATGCAATTACTCTCAAGGTAATTTGTCAAGGCTTCCAGGAATTCTCTAGCGTTTTTTGGACTTGACTTGTCTAGGATGGTCATGGTTTCCCAGTTAAAACTATGGTTAAGTCTGTCCAACTGTTGTTTATGGTTAAGTCTGTCCAACTGTTATAAAATTAAGGAGCTTTTATCATATCTTCTGACTGCTAGTTGGTGTTCATGGATGCATTCTGCTAGTCTTTTGCCTGTTTGTCTTATGTGGTAGCTGTTGCGGTCTTTACACTGTAAACTTTTCATGGCAATCCAACAAATCAGCCATCAATTGATTCACAGACATAAACAATATTGACATACTATGTAAAAGAGACAACAAGCAAGCCAAAATAGGATAAAAAAGACCAAAACATTTTCCCACCAACAATCAACACCCAGTAGAGCATAGATTGATACCAAGTTTAACATCAGATCAACAATCAAGAAATAAGCAATACCCTAGTTAAGCTAACAGCAAACCATCAAACCAAATAACTTCTAAGACCATTCCCACCAACACTGACAGGGAAGCCATTAGAATAGAAATTGAGAGCAAACCCCATTCCTTACTAGTATTGATAATGTTACCTACTTTGGGTAATGAAACATCTGTAAGAAAACAGCCAAGCTCAGAGAGCATCAAGGAGTCTATATCAATCCAGAGCTACAAAATTCTCCTTTATCAGTAATATATGAAAGAACTAAATTATCAGTTTATAAGTCAATCTCCCACAAAATTCTGCTTAGCCACTTTGCAGCCTTTGACCATGCTAAGGTTATCCACCTCTTTATCTTCATGTGAACTAAGGAGGGACTTGAGTGAGAACTTTACTCGAGTCAATTTCTTGGTTGACTACCTTTGCCTTGGTGGTGGCTCTTTCTCGTGTCCTTCAAGGCCATTCCCTATGTCTTCTCCATCTTTGGCTATGGTTTTTTTTTTAATACATTCCTTTCAACTGTGGGGGATGTGAGGAAATCCATCTGTAGGTATCTAGCATTTTGTCCCCATGGTGATGCAGAAATCTATCATTGTGTATCACAAAATCTAGAAAAGCATTTTACCCTAAAGCCAACAATGAAAGGAAATCATAGATTGGATCCCTGCCTCATCTCAAAATCTAAAATATGTTGCTCAGGGTAGACTAAAAAGAAAAACAAACTGAGAAATGGCAAGGATGAATTGAACAAACATATTAAATTCTTAGGTTTAGACCACAGGTGTCAAACTTGTGGCATCATGGCGGTGTCACATCACATATAGGGACTTTTCCCCCTTCACTAAACCAGGCGTGGGCGTGGCCAGTGCATTATGCATCGGGCCCACAGCTGGATTAGACTGTCAGATATTTCTTCACAAGGATACTTGTGAAGCAGCATCCAATCAGACCAGTAAAAATATAAATAAATAAAGTGTTCACCTTATGATGGGTTCTGGTACGGCCTGTAGAAGTACTGGTGCAAGGTTAAATATTTCTATTTTGTTCTTATACAAGGTTGGCAGGTAATCTTGCTTGGTGCTTGTTGAGGTAATTCCATGTTAGGAGAATAAGTGCACACAGGGAGACGTAGTGAGAGTGATGAGGAATAACACACAACCAGCACACAGATACACTGTATAGTAAAATGTAGGTTTTTACTTCCAGTAAACGGTTAAACAAAGTCCAACAAGCAGTCCAAGTCATACACGGTTATAGCTGTCAATTTTCAGTCCAGGGATAATCCAATAACAAAATCCAGTATCAAAAACAGTTCAATAAAAGACTCACATCAAATCCAAGAATAACGATGATCAGCAACAGTCAATAGGGAAATGCAAGAATGGCAACACTCCCTGGTAAACCAGGTTTCTGGCTCCATCTTATGGCCATTTGAGGAACCGCACCCAATTACCATTTTAGCATTCCCTTAAAGAGACAGTATTAAAATGTCTATCCTGGTTTATATATTTCCAACTCAACTGTTAGGTGACTTACATTCCTAACAGTGCTGGAGCATAAAAAGCCACTGGGGGGAATATTTCAGAGTTTGAAAATATTTTTCAGCCCTATAGAAGGCAGAGTAATGTAAATTTCAACATGATAGGAAGTGCAAAGGGTGAAAAATCCCTCTGGAATCTATTCTTTTATTTACAGAAATGGTTAAAGTATATACATTTACTTTGCCAAGTTCTCTTCCACAACCTCCCTACAGTCTTTGAATTGACAGCCAGGAGATAAAACAGGACTTCTGTTTAAAAAATGCATAATCTATCAGGCTTTAATGACAAAAAGTAGTTGCAAATTCAGATGTGCACACAGTATTTCCAAACTTTAAAGGGATATCTGTAGCACAGGTTTGGGGGGAGAATGATTTCTCCTGCAAGATTGATTAGAGTATAACAAAATGTAATTACTTTATATTCACTGAGATATTTTCCTAATGAAAAAGACACCCTAGAATGGAATATATGAATTTATATATCTTTGACTAACTTGGGCTTTATCAGAATATGCTCTTACAACAATGTGGTATTGTGATTTGTGGAGTTAACACTTTTGAGGTTAACAAGCGTTTCCCTCTGTGATTAGGTGGATAGCTTTCTTGATTTAAGATTGTACCTTAAATAATATAGTATAATAACTGAAAGCCTAAAAATGGCAACTTGTCACCCGAACTGCAAGTCAAATAGAAACTCCATATGTTGCCTTGGCTACCTAGTTGCCACATCAGGAGGATCTTTTTAGGGGATCAGAGGCTTCTGCCTGGTGAAATATGACTTTTTCCCTGTGTTAAGTTTTCCAAATCAAAGGAGGTATTTATAGAGGATGATATTTCAAGGTAGTTCAGAATGTTGTGTGAATAGCGCTCTGCCACCAAGGAGGACTGAGATGAAGTCAAGAGCTCACACAAAATGAGATGCTAGTCAGTACTGAATGCTGTAAAATGGTTTGTTTGTATTGGATATCCTCCCCCCATT